TTCATAAAATTCCGAAATCCCACAAACCCCAAGCGCTTTTTGACACTCAAACTGATTCGAAGCAAGGCCTCGGGAGACGAGAGGCTAGCCGTTCGGCATCCTAAGCGCTTCCCCCAAGCGGCATGGGGGGGAGGTCTAAACAAGTTTGAGGCCAAGCCCATCCTTGAACCGGCAGCCTCAAACCTGATACATCAGTCCAAACCTCGGTTTTACCTCTCCTCAACCTTTAAAAACAAGACCTTGAGCCTTGAGCTACAGTCCTCCTCCCCTCTAGTGCATGCTGGAGGAAGGCTACGATGCCCAGGCCAACGAGTCAAGGACTTGGAACGACTTGGCTCTGTGGGGTCGTGTGAGTAGTGCTGGAGGTTTGGATCCGGGCTCGATGTATGTCTACAGATTAGAGAGTACAATTTGGAGTTTGGATTCAGTTCACGAGAAGAGTTTAGCTATTGATGAGATTGTGGTCGCAGAAGGTTAAGCATGTTGAGCATACTGTTGTTCAAGCATTAACCAGACAACCCGCAGACCCGCTTCCTAAGTTTGGATTTGGATCTGAGAAAGTCGACTCACAAACTTCAAGGTAGTGTCGAACAAGCAATACTTGTGCTTCCGGTATTCCCATGCATGCTTCCCCCGAGATGGGTGACAATCTCGGAAACAAAGCTGAGTAGTATATAGTAGTATTTTATTTGGGGATACTATGGTACCCATTATAGAGTAAGATTCTATCCTCCTTTTGGGGCATAGTATTTTATATAATGAATATACTCTTACTAGGTTCAACCACCAAAAAAAAGCTACTCATCTGGGTGACATTGACAGAGAAGTGTTTACTTCAGTCGCGCTGAGCGTGATACAGTTAAAACAACAGTTCGCGCCTTTCGGGACTTGATTCACCCGATTGGAGGTTTCCGATGAACCCTGCGTCACGTAATCCACAAATTTGAGATTCCGCAACCTCTCAGGTTCGGATATGTGAATGTCACGGACATGAAGGCCAGCAATTTCAAAGCATCCCGCCGGCTGTGGAATTCCAAGTTGCGATCTTTCTGCAATTCTGATGCTACGGAGCTACTCGATACGGTCGTCATAGAAATTTTAATGACGCAGCATCATGGCATCATAGTTGCTCATGTGCGGCCAGTGCTCAGTGTTGCTTCTAGTGCGCTGCGGTGAGCATCTCTTCTTGTATATCTTCTTTGTTCTGCTGATTCAGGATCGCCATAAGAATCTTGTAGCCAATAACCGTTGCACTTTGAAAGAGGCCATGGGCAAGCTTGCAGAGTTCCTTTGCCTCGACGCTGATGTGGTCAGCAAGGAGATGAAGGCCAGGGCTCTATGTGTAGATTTTGTAGGTTAACGGTTCTCAAGAACCGTGGGTCCCTTTGGGGTTTCCTGCGATAAGGATCTGATGATTTGGTGTGGCATAAGGGACCCAAAGCCTTTGAACTCCCATGTTGCAGGGGTCCTATTGCAGGGTTGAGGTCTTTGGGGTCGAGAGAACAGTACAATCCCTCTTGTTCGGAAATTTTGCTTGTAAGTAGACCTTTGCCAAGCTGTGGTGTGTGGGAATGCATCCTGTTGATAATCTATCACAAGCAACATGATCTCCATAATACGTATTCACAAAAGCCAGGCCCCATGAGTTGAACTATCGGAAAAGTGTGTCACTATTCAAGGACAACGGAACCGGAACCATATACAAATGCAAGGGGTGCCCGGAGAGAAAGTCGCTTCAAATTGAGGACAACAAAATCCTAGAGCCAGAGCAGCGTATACGCGGAAACCTGTGGTTTGAATCCCTCTGCACCTCAAGCTCCAACCCCCCTGCATCCTCCCTCTCCAGCACAGCCGACCAGGCTTTGGACTTCGATGCCAATAACATGGTCTCCTTTGCTGAGTTACTTGGATACAAGACGAGGGTCATGTTTGTCGGAGGGTGTAGACTGTCTGGTTCAGAGCTCCGAAGCTGTAAGGGTGGAGAAGGCGGTATGTGTTGTGTTTACAATTTATAGTCCCCCTGAAGTAGATAGAATATGGCTTGGGTATATTACTGTAAGATCCCCATATACCCCATATTCTATCTACTTAAGGGGTCTACGTCTGGAAGGCGAGGTGATAAGTAGGACCTGAGGAAAGTTATAACAAAAAGCTGCAGTAGGAGAGATGCAGCCTGCTTGTACACCCCCCCAAAGCCTCCAAGTAAGTCAGAGTTTAGGGTTTAGGGTCTAGATGGCATCTACTTGAGGGGGACTATAAATTGTTAGGGATGTCGGCGCGGGGCGGAGCAGGAGCTGGCGTTCAAAAGTGCAGGCATGCAGAGTGCCAAAGCAGTCGACGCACTATAGTAACCCTAAACCCTAAATCCTAAGAACCCTATCCCTATATAACCCACTATAGTAGTATCCATTTCCTTTTTCATTATCTTCCAGATATGCGACCTGTGGCATAACATCCAACAATACTGTAATCCCCCGCATACACATACGTGATTTTACATGCGAGTTTGATTGTATTTGTGCACGTTAGTATGAACGTAACATGAGGCAACTAGCCAGACCGTATAGGCACAGCTTCAAGCAAATGCTGATGGCAGCTGGCTTACAAGGGAAACGTTGCCTGAGGCTTGAGGTGAACTTGAGGACGGAAACTCCTCTCAGAAGCATGCTTTGCTGCAGCTTCACAAGTACGAGTTATGCCTGAGGAAGTGTTGTATTTCATACTACAAGCATGGTCGTTCCCGCGGGTGCTTAGTGATTCCAGTGCCAAACTTACTCAACTGGAAGGGAAGACCATGCAAACCCACGCTGCTGCTGGTGTGTGTATGCACAAGGTTTGTGCTTTGGGCAGACAAGCACACCATCGGCATCCCGCTGAGGGCTCAGCGTAGAAACAGGAGTACACGGCGTAAGAACCAAAGATCTCTACCCTAAAGTCGATATCTTAGCACCTCAACCCCCCTTCCACTTGCGTCCAGTCGGTCCGCATCAAAACCCTATCACCATCATGATGATGGTTATCACCTTCATCATTGAAAGCTTACCACCAGCAGTATCATCATGCTTATTCGTCTTTCTCCTCGTGCTGTTCTGCTTCACGCAAATGATCTCACGGCTGTTGCTATCCGAACATGTCCTCGCTGGTAGTCTTCGGCCGCAATAGCCTGGGCCGGCGTGTTGCTTGCCATGCCCACGACTTGTACTGCGAGCATTGCAGATTTTCCCAGCATGGTGAGCACGCTGCCACCCTTGTTGACGGTGATTGTAGTTATGGCGACGACGATGATGATATTAATGATGATCATCACGGTGACTGCTACTTGACCCAGTCATTGAAATTCGTCTTAACTGGTGCGCATGAGGCTTGTTCGCATCTCTCACAGTCAGAACATCTGTTCCCACCATGAGTTCTAGTCCGACCACGGTGACAAGATATTTACAGGCAAAGATTTTGAATCCAGCAGATTCTACTTGCCGTACTCGCGACACATAGTTCGCGGCCTCACTGCTACACATCTAGGCCTGACAAGGAACCTGAGAGCAATGTTGATAAGCCCAGAGGGGGGAAGTCAACAAAGGAATGATACCTAAAACCAGGCTACCTGCAGGTCGATAAGCTCTGTAGTGAAGATCCCATTATATCTCAAGATGCTCGTCACGCATGCGTAGGCTTGGCATTGCCATTCCAGACAAGCGGGAGTGGAGGCTGGCTGAGCATGTGCATCAGCATGAAGCCAGAATAAGCCGGAGTGCAGGGTCGCAAAATTTTGAGGCCAGGATGGCTGGGGTCTTCGCTGTTAGCAAGTTGGACATGGGGAGTCAAATCTCCAAACAGCCTGATCCGAACATCACGCTTGGTGTCCATGCTGGATTTTTCGTTGTCCATCTATCCATTTTGCAGTGTTGATGCACATGCTCTCCTACGCTTCTGTTGTGCCCTTCCTCCCTCCCTTCTATCTCTCCCTGACATCCTCCTCTCATGCCAATGGAGGAAGGGCATGCCTGACCATTGGACGACGATCCCGCCTCCAACCCCCGAGGAGGAGGCGGGCCGCTTTTGTGTCGAGGTACAGCGCAGTCAGGAGTCAGAGCCTTGTAATGAGGGTCTAGGGCTTCCAGGGTTCTGAGTTGTAATCCTCCCTGCATGAGGTCCTTGGCAAGATGGATATTGGAGGTCACAAGACTCGGCTGGGCAGATCACAAAGCCACGGAATTTCGTGTTCTCGCTTGGTCTTCCGGGCTCTCCGTGGGAGCACCACGTCGGTTGAAGGCCCACTCCTCAAGACAGTCCTCACACAAGCACCAAGGCTCACTTAGGAGCAATTATATGGCCAAAGGCCAGCTGTGCTGGTCCCTACAACAAGCATCCTGAGTATATTGCCATGGCAACGGGGGAACGTTGTCTAAGGGCAGCAGTCCAAAACTCCCGGCAGTCACGCCCAAAATGTCTAACACTTGCCAACAGTACAGACCAGCGACTGTTGACCCCTTTTGTTGGCTTGATCTTGATGGTAGTTTGAGCTGTTGCGCTCCAAACCACTACTTGCGCCCCTGGAGTATCAATCCGATTGACTTCCAAACTCGCATACCCGAAAATCCTAGTTGCCGTGACCCAAATTAGCCAAAACCAAATTACCACATGTTAGGCCCGAACCCCAAATTCAAACCCTAAACCCTAAATAGTAGTTTCCATTTCATTTCCCATTATCCCAATTAATCCCTATATAAACCCTATATTATCCCTAAATTCCTCACCCTCGTGCCTTCTGTCTGGGCCCTCAGGCGGCCCTCAAGGCATCCACGGCCGGCGTGGCCGTTGGCAAGGTGAAGAAAGCAAAGCCCAAGAAGGCCTCAGCAGACCGGCTGTAGCACAACTAGAAGGAAACACAGTTGAAGCTATGAGAAATCATAGTCATAGCAGTGTTATAGACATGAGTTTTAGCCATGCGTGAAAATTTTAGTGGTGGCAAGAAGATTGAAAGCAAGTGATACTGGTGCTTGTGGTGCTTACGTTTGTTGTGGCGGTGGCGGCGGCAGCGGCGGCTCTGTGATTTGATTTGATCGCGATTTTCCTACAATTAGCAGTCAAAATTTTGATCAAAGCCAAACGCGTAGCAGAATCTCCTTCCCATACTCATGGACGTTGTCCTCGTGCCGGTGGTCTCAGAAAGAGGGTTCTACACATTACTTACTTAGTGGTCAAGGAAGGTGTGACACGGCCGTGTCTCAATAAAGGCCTACATACTCCTCAAGAGAAACAGGGCATCTTCATAGTCTCCCTGTACTCCTTTTGTATGCATAGCATACCCATTTTGATCAAACTTATACTGATTCTGGCGAACTGGTTGCAGGCATCGGTGCCTGAAGATCCGGACACGACGGAACTGGAGGCTGCTGCAGAGATCAGGGTTTATATGAGCTACTGTCTATTAGCTTTACTAACGGACCCTTAACAGTGGACATAGGGGTTCCTCTGGTAGTCAGTATAGTCGCCAATATGCCCTAACAAGGAGCTTATGTTCATTTGTTCTCTGTGCAATATTTGTAGATTGTAGATCATACGTAGCTCATATGGTTGTTGGCTGCAGCCGTAGCATTAAAGGATGAAGATGTTGGTCTCTGGATTGAAGGTCCACGTCTCTGCTGGGATTTCTGTTGGGACTGTTCGTGCTGGCCATCTGAAGATCTGGGAGGAAGGTTAAGCGTGGAAATTGAAGGTGACGCTGATCGGCTCCCCCTCTTCAGGTGTCTACGTATACGTGTTGGTGTCTTCAAATTTGCGGTCTCTGCAAGTTTAACTACAGTTGTTCGGCAGCCTTCAACGCTTTCAGGCAGCGACCCTGTATCAGACATTTTTGCATTGCGACAGCTCCATTCCTGAAATCTCAGGTTCTGAACTTTGAGACTTCAGGCTTCTCACAGCAAGGGTCAGCAATGCTGAAGGTTTCACGCAGGTGCGGCAGCTTTTGCTTTACCGCGGGGGTCCTGTAGAATCAGTTGAAAACAAGGAGTACTTGCAGTAGTTGTCTGCATGTTTCTTCGTGAAGGTATGACCCAGACCCCTGGACTGAAGACTTGCGTCCTTAAGGTATTGAGGTATTGAGGCCTAAGGCCTTCAACCCCCCTCCTTGACACTCGAATCCTGGCGAAGGACTTCATCGCTGCAGCCAAAGATGCTGACTGGGATAAGGTCTGGGAAATTCTGGGACGGCACCCGGGCTACGCCCCGGCCTCATCAATCACCATAGCGCGGTAGAGAGCCTGCACAAGCAATGCTGTGTATTCTGTGCAGAAGTGAGGGTATCTTCTTCGACATTTGTTGTTGGTCACGGATTTGCTTTGCTCACTGCGCTCTTCATGCAGTAATTACCGCGGTTAGAACCCTTTTCATGTTACTCGCTTCTTTGATGATCTCAGAGTACGTGCAATGGCAGCAGAACACTGGTTTGTCCACAGAGGTAAACATGCGGCCCCCTTACCGTCGCTATGCCTGCATTCACCAGGCAGCCGCGCCTTTTAAGATGTTGCAGATCATCAAGCCGCAGGGTCCAGCGTCCTCATATCAAGGTCTAGGGCACCGGATTGTACAGTCTAATGTAGACCCCTGATTAATAAACCCCCTCCTTTGAAGGGCCTTAAGATCAGGATTACTATTGTAATCTTTGTTAAGGGGAGGGGATTTATTAATCAGGGGTCTGCGTTACATGGTTCTTGGTCCACCCTTGGTCCTTAAAGGCAGGATACTGGGGTCGTCAGACCCTCAGGCGAAAGTTGTTGGGATCTGGTGGTCGCAGGTTGGCCAATCAGCTGTGGCTGTAAGGTGTTGCTCAGCCCAAAGGAACTGCCGCATCAGAGGGGTTATGTTATACAAGGGTAATGAGTAATGGCAACGAAAATTGAAACTACTATGTAGGGTTTAGGGTTTAGGGGTCCAGGGTCCAGGGTGTTGGCACATGCAGCAGGCGTGCTATCATGGAGATGCTGACGTCGTCCGGAAGTTGGTAGAGGATGGGAGCGACCAGCAACTCACAGTCCTTGAGACATTCTCTGCTTTTGCAGTGTTGCCAGGCAGTTGTAATTGTGGAACGCCGCTCGTCGTTCTGTGTCATGCATCCACGATCATGTCTCTTTGTAGTACCAGGAGATAGATCGAGTCGTCAGTGAGATCAATGGAGCACCATGAGCAACTACAAGAAACTTTACTCCAGTTCCTTGCATCCTGGAGAATTAATTCTATTTGATCCTGTTGCGGGCTTACTCTGCTTGCTGACTTCTTCATGCACACTATGCCGGAAGCCGTTCTGCAGGACTGGAAAGCAGACCCCTTGCTGAAGACAAAGGCGGGTTTCGGGGAGTCTGTGGCTTTCAGAGCCTTTTTGGGAGCCAAGTCAGAATTGCTAGAAAAGTGCCGGCGGTCAAACTTCCATGAAGGGAAACCGAAGATACGGTGCATCCGGATCAAGTTGCCTGTTTGCTGCGGTGGTTGATAATTACTCTACGTAGGCTTTGCTACGTGGCGTCATGCAGGATGCAGAGACGCCGGAGTATGTTGTGTGGGCCCCAGAAACTTCATCCAGCATCAAATGCGGAGGCGATCCCGGACTGAATCGGACTGCATTGCTGCCTGCAGTTTGCAACTGGCGATTAACACCAAGACTTTCCATGCTTTGCCGCAGCATGGGGCTGAAAGAGCTTGTATCGCGTTCTCTCCCTTCCCCCCCTCCCACACACCTAATAGCAAAGCGCTGCCAAAGAGGAGAGCGCTCCGCAGCAAAATGTCTACCTTCAATTTCACAAGCTAGCTGCAATCTTGTATTCGGACCAGTCCTACAATTTCTCGTGCGCGCGGTTTGCTTTCTTGCCCCATCACTCCAAGCGCCTGGTAGACGGACTGGCGTGATGGACACGGATGACTCGCGAAAGCAGAAGCGACCCCGATCAGAAATTTCTGAGTCGAGTACGGCGACCAGATCGCGTTTCAATGACAAGCGAGTGCTGGTCACAGGTGGACAGGGTTTTTAGAAATCGGGTCCGGGATTGCATTTTCGCTTCGAAATTGGGTCCAAATATGTTGTGCTCAAGAAGCCTAAAGGGCTCGAAAGCCGGCAACGAATCAAAAAGGTTTTGATTCACATCTGATCAGAAGTTCTGCAAAACTGCTTGTGGTTGTGGCCTTTCAGAATTGCTTGGTTTGGTTTCTCTCAAGGACAAGCGCGGGGAAGGTAGTGCAACGGTTTGTGTTGCCTGCAAAACAGCGTGCTCCCTGATTGACCGCTGGAAAAGGGGAACTGCTGAGGTGGAGCGAAAGGCATTGGACGCCAGATTGCCGAGGAGTTCCTGGGTGAGGGGGCAAGTGTTGTGATCGCAGCGCCGGCTCAGATAGACATCTGCAAGGTTTGGGTCTATTTCTAATCTGGCCTTCGTGATGCGGGTGGAACGTTGTAAATCAAGTTCTAGCATCAAGCCCACTTGTTACAATAGACCTATGGCTTTCGCTGGGATTCTCCAACGCCGACTTAGGCAGATATTGTGAAGCCGGAGGGCTTGGAGCACAAATCTTGCATGTTCGTGCCCTGCGATGCCGCTTTACCACAGGCAGCTGGGTGAGTATTGATGAATGATTACGGTCATTTCCAGGTTTCTAGACATTTTGCTGGTCCCTTGTTGTCGCGCTTCCAAGGGAGGTCAACTGGTTTTGGGAGTATGTGGGGGACACAGTCGGTTAAAGACTCATCCAGTCTCTTCAAGAAGAACTTACCTCTGCAATGTTATGCCAGCTATGCAGGAAATCGAGAAATGCTGCAAGCTGGCCGGGCCCATCGATATTCTTATCAACAACGTCTGTGTTCAGTTGGAGGCTCCCTGTCATGAGCATAGCCTGGAAGATTGGAACAAGACCTTGGCAATCGGGCTGAACCTAAGCTGTGTTTAGGATTGATCTTTTCTTTGGCCTTGACCTCCCCAAGGAAGCAACAGCTTGACTGTTCGAAGTAACCCTTCTTTCAAGGCGTAGAAGGGCCCGATCTGATCATGTAGTTTCCAGTCGAGGTGGTTTAACCACTGATCGAGCCCATAAGATACGGATTGTAACCAATAGGGAAATCACGAGTCCGGTCCTTGAAAAGAGGTGCCGTTACTTCAGGCGTACTTTTGGGCAAATTTGTGTAAGCTACCAGTACGAGCCCAGGACATCTTACTTCCTGTTCTCCAAGCACTGCCTGCCGCATATGCTGGAGAAAGCACATGGCGCCATTGTCAATATCGCATCTGTCCAAGGGACGCAATCTCAGCCTCGGGTTCCAGCTTATGCAGCGGCGACTAGGGCCGTTCCCGGAAATTGTGCTTTCATTTTGTGCAATGGATGTTTCTGTTTGGCAGTGGTACTATATCTCAAAGGCTTTGTATGCGTCTGGGAGCAATTCAGGTGAAAGGGGGCGTCCTCTCACTTACACGGCAGCTTGGAGTTGAGTATGCATCCAAAGGCATCCGGGTGAACTCCGTGAGCCCTGGAACCATTGCTACACCACTGGTGGAAGGCATTCTGCAGCGAGCTGGCTCTTCACGGGAGGTGGCAGGGCGGGCCTATCCTATGAAGAGGATTCTTGATTTGTTCTTGAATGCTTATACTTAGTTTAAGGGATAAGGCCTGTGTTACCCCTACAGTTCAACAAGACTGTGACAAACTCTGTCGGGATGGTCGAGAGAATCGGGTACCCCCAGGTTGGAAAACCAGGGACCAAGTGCGGGAACCTCGACTTAGGATTGGAGAGCCCAGCGAGGTGTCCAAAGTTGTCCTATTCCTCGCATCCGATGATGCCAGCTTCGTGACGGCGGAGAATATCACTGTGGGCTGGGGCATAGCAAAAGTTGTTTTTGGAGATCACTTCTATCCTTTTCCTATTCCCGTGCAGAGTTGTAAGACGTGAGGCCATATGTTGCAAAAGAGAACTAAGGTGGATGGTGGCATCATGGGCCTAGGGGGCTGGGCCACTTTTGTCTGAGGTGTGAGACGCACAGCGCTCAGCCGCAGCCTCCGGAATCAGGGGCTACAAAGGTCTTTGGCTGTTGCTGCATACCATTCCGGATCCTCCAGAAAGTTTTTCGGAGACGCCTTGTACAGTTGACAAACCCCCCAAATGTAAAGAAACGGGCCCTTTCCTTTTGTGGGAGACCAGAGGCTCCATCACCAACCGATGTAAAGAAAGGGGCCTTTGCCTGTCGAGGAGGACTGGAGACTCCCTTTTCGATTCCAGTGGATGACATGCGTTGTCAAAAGTTGTGCCTGCTTATTCGAGGGGTCTGAAAATGTGGCATCAATATGGATAGAGACTGAGGGGATGGAGAAGTAGCAGAAGTCACTAGAAGAAGGAGGCCATAGGTCCAGAGGTAGCTTGAACATCAATGGTGGCTGCTATCCAGGAGTAGGACTTTTGGTGAGGGATGCTTGCTTAGGGCAACGTCTGTTGCAGAGGGATTTTTCCAGAGATACCAGGCAGGAATCAGGGTGGATTCAAAACTCTTTTTGGAAATTCTGCTGCTCAGTGACTCCAACGAGGCAACATGGTGGGAATCGCCACTAAAGGATAACTTGTGCTACCATATCCAACCGCGAGCCAAGCACAGAGCCCAGGAAACCACGAGAGACCTAGGGAGCCTCCCTGGTCCCGTGTTGTGATGCCAACAAAGCATCCTGCGATACGTCTAAGGACGGCTTAGCAGTCCCTAGCAGGTTCAACCTGAAAGCTTGAATTTGTCATCGTAAGCAGGTCATGAACCAGTCCTCCGTATTTGACTGTACGTTGGAAGATTTTCACCGGTCTTAGAACTGAAGTTTCTCTTTACCTTGCCTTGATGTCTTTCGTCACATGCTTTGCTGGGCCAAAGAAGCTTGTCAGCTCAGGCCCAAGAAAACGGAAACGACGAGGTGGCAACTTACCTCCAGGCCACTGAGCTGACGGCTTCCCAAAATTAGGGGTATCTTATGGGGATCCCTATGATGAGGATTTTAGTATTTGGGGGTCTATATTGCCCCTTATTTGGGGAAGATACCAGCTGTCAACAAAGGCTTCAGGTTGCGGAGGAATCGGGAAAGCCGCTGAGCATTAAAACCTTGTAAGTACGCGGCGGTGAGGGATGAGTGGTTGATGAGCATCTAATTTTCATGCCAGACCCCAACGCCACTTTCCCTTAATCCTAATCCCTATGAAAGCTTTATCCGTGTTGTTGTTCAGGAAAAAGAAAAGGAAGACGCAGACGACGCAGAAGAGCCTGAGCCTTAATCAAAACCTGCTGTCTTGGTCGGGCCAGGTAAGAAATCTGTCACTTGTCTTTTCTTGCTATGGCCACTCTTGAAGACTAATTAGTTTTGGCAGTGCATCATCCATTGTGCAGGGCTAGATTTAGTGACATGGTAACCTGCTTGCTGACTGTTTTTTCGGGCACTGGGGGACAGCTGGAGAGTGTCAGGTCATGTGTGCTGTAAAGCTTTTACAAAGGGTTGCAGTTGAGGGTTGAGGTATTGGCCTCTTGTCTCGTCGCCTAGGAATCCGGGGTAGTTCGCCTACCCCTGAACGTTGCTCCCCAATTACATTCAAGAGGGACCCACTAGTGTGGAGCAATCACTTTCCGCGTGGGCTGCAGGGAGGAGGATGATGAGCCGCCTGCTAAGAAGATGCGGGGCGGTGCGTGCGAGCTGGTCCGGGACCCTGTTTGTTGATTCGGTCTTCTAGATATGGTTGCCCTGTGCAAGGGACCTAATCGCTTCCACGTAATGCTGCTCGCCCCCTTCCCGAATAAGAACAATGTTAAACAGAGTATCTATTGTTGGGGGGTTCTACCCGTGGTCCCAGAATAGCCTCAGAAACCATCTATAATTCTCATTCAGGTCAGAGTTACACCTAAGTAATCATTTCTGGATCCCCACCCTCATTCATTATCTATTTGCAGAGATGTGCCTGATTCAACAGCGGGTTTTTGATTTTAAGGTCGCTCTCCAGGAATGTAGGCCAAGATTGGAAGTGTTTCTCATTAGGCGGGTTGAGTATCAGGGATACAGCGAAACATGAAGAAGTATTTCTCCATGTGCTGCTGCATACCAGCTACAGTTTAAACTCCTAGTATCCCCCTTAATGATCCCTGTAGTAGTCCCCTATAAGATCCCACATATAACCCCCCTTTAAGGAGTTTACACTATAGCTCATATCACGGGTAATTGATTATTTGATAGCATGAGGGGCTGCCGGTAGGACGCGTACCGACGAATTCAAGAAACTCGTGTCCATCAGCCTCAAGCCTAAACCCTAAACCCTCTATACACCCATTATTGTTTCCATTATTCCCAACCTAACCCCCAACCCCTTAAACCCTAAACCATCCAACGAGAAGACTCAAACAAGAATTGAGCCAAGAAGTCGGGACTGGCAGCCGCCCGTTAAGCGTTACTAACCCATGGGGGTAATATTAGGGTTATATTGGGGTTATACTGGGATAATGGAAAAGAGAATGGAAACTACTCTAATGGGTTGTATACATCCCCAATGTATACCCCATTGTAAAGTCGTTTCCATTTCATTTTTCCATGATTCCCAATATAAACCCATATATAGACCCCGTAACCCCTGTAGAATCCTTATAACCCCTATAAAATCCCTGTAGTTTCAATTGTATTTTCCATTATTCCCAAGATAATCCCCCAAATTTGTCCCGCCAACCTTCAGCCCTTCCGGGCCACAGCATGGCAAAGCTCAGGATCCTGAAGAGCTCATGGAGAAAGCCAATGAGGCGAATGGTGTGGCTTAGGATTTGGGGTTTAAGGTTGGGTATTTAGGGTTTCGGGCTCGGGGTTTAGGATTTAGGATGGTTTGGTTTTGTGGCTGGGCAAATTGGGGGGTTATATTGGGAATAATGGAAAATAGAATGGAAACTACTATAGTATGGTAGGGTATATATTGGGGTTATATTAAGAAGAAAGGCAAATACTTGTAACATGCAAACGACTTTATAATGGGGTATATACTGAGCATCTATATAACCCGTTAGAGTAGTTTGCATTTTATTTTCCATCATCCCATATAACCCCATTATAATCTAATATTTGGATTTAGCAGAGCTTGTACAATTGCATGTTTGGCCATAGTTTGTCTTAGAGGAGGAGGATCCCCATGGTTTCTTCCACAAGTTCTGCTGCAAAGTCTGAGCCATCAGAGAAGCACGCATGGAGATCCCAATCCACGAAGGTTTCATGCAATGCCCGTTCAGGCTGCCGGCGATCTGATTGTCTTTCAGAGACAAACGCATTCTGATTTCGGAAGCCGTTCAGCTCATGTAATGTGCACGTAGGGAGATGTGCCCCATTCATGGCAAGGTCCAAGTACCTTGGAGATGTGACACCCTAAAGAGTATTTTCCATTTTTCCCCATTATCCCAATGTTCCCCTCTATATAACCCTATAATATACTTTTTCTTGAGGAAAGGGGCCAGGCACTTGCCCCGTTACCCTGGCAAGGCCATTGAGCACGCGAAGTGGCAGCAGTGGGATGAGATGTTCGCCATCTTCGAGGCTTATCCAGGCAGGTTTTTTAAACATCCAAGCCTAAAACACAAATTCTTCAGCTAGGGGGCTGTAAACCAGTTCTAGTCCTGTTTCTACAGCTTGCTATAGAAATTTCAGGCACCGAATTGCGCGTTGGATTATCCGCACTTCAGAACTCGACACGCGCAGGCTGCCTCATGGCCGAACCTTGTTTTCTTGCCAAGAAGTCAATGAAGAATTGCATAGCCTAGGTAAGCCGGAAGTCCTCGCAAAAATGAACTGCAGAATAGCCAAATCTGCCGGTCGACCCTCAGTAAATATGAGAGCTGTTGTTGAGGCTGCCAGAACATGCGGCCTGAATTCCGGCGATTTGCTGTCTGGTCCCGAGCTTCGGCAGTGTTGCAATCTTATGGTGTCCTTGACTTACATCTCATTTTACGGTGTCTTAGCCTTTCATGGGTATAGGCGTGTGCCAAACGGTGTATGCTTAGGAGAGCGTGCGCGCACAAACATGCGCGGAGCGCTGTAAATCGATCGTGAGTGAGGTGTTTGCGCCTGAATTGGCCGTCTTGGCAGCTTTACCATAGCTGATCATTCTCTGCAAGGGGGATTCCATGGGCGTCTGTGGGACTCTTGCGGCAGCGGCATGGTAGGATTTGCATGCATGGTTATGAGCTACAGCCTTCATGAATGGCCACGGCATGCATTCACAAAAAGTGCTTGATCGTTTTCCAGTATGTTGCACCGGAGGGTTAAACGCTCATAGTGCACCAGCATTGCTGAACTTCCGAAAACAGAGGAAATGCTTGCAACACGAGCTACGGGTATGATCCAAATTGCAGAGACATTGGGGTCGCAATGTTCCTATGTGCGTAGGTGTCATTTGGTCAATAAGACAAGAATTTTGAAATTTGTCTGCCTAAAGCAATCACAGTGCTTTTCGTCGAGACTCTCATAAGATCCTGTGATGGCCCTGCAGATCCCCAAATGGTAGTTTCCCTACATAGGGGGACCCAAACATAGACCCCAAAATAATATAGCCCTTATTAAATTATAGGAACCCACCAAAAAGTGTAAGCCGTATTTCCATTTTCTTTCCATTTTCCCTTATACACCACAATATATAACCCATAGTCCCTATAGAAACCCTATAGAAACCCTATGAAATCCCCTTAATACCTCTATAATCCCTGTAGTTTCCATTTTCTTTTCCAGTATCCCAATAAACCCTAAACCCTAAACGGCCCTAAACCCCAAACCCTGAACCCTCTAGTAGTTTCCATTTTCTTTTCCATCATCCAGCTGTGACGTTCCCAGGCCATCCATCAGGCTGCCTATGCTGGCGACGCCAAGATCCTCAAGAAAATGGTAGACTGCGGTGCCAACCCAGGCTGCTCGCCCAAGTTGGTAAGTAGTATTAAAAATATTAGTAACAACAATTATAGTAGTGATTAACAATAATAGTAACTA